TACTTCTGTTAGTCTTAAAGGTGCCACAGGACCCTCTGTTGCTTTTTACAGATTCAGACTAACACGGCTACCCCTCTGATACTGTGAAAGAAGTGTGCATGTGTCAGGCTATATCACACCTGCTTGAACTAGGGCTTATTCCTGCCGGTTTCCTGACATTTGTTTTTGAGTCCAAAGTTCACCCTGGTAACTCTTCTCCTTCAGTTTGACTATCTAAAAATATCTGCGATTATTTCTGTCTTCTGAAGACTGTTTCTGTATGCAACCATAAATCATGTTTCCTCTTGTGTTCTTGCCTTAGAGTATGGAAATAGCTAATCTACTCTATGCCAGACAACAAAGAGCATTAAAGTACAGTATATAAAACCTGTCAGTATTCCTACTAGTAAACAGCTGAACCGCGGATAGCCCTTGATCTAGTCCAATAGTTTGGGCCAAATGATAACTCAGCTTAAGGGAATGGCTATACCAAAGCAGATGGCCTTTAGCCTTTTAAATCCCATTAAATCCACTTTTGAACAACTGAGCAAAGCCATCTAATTCTGACTTGATTTGTATTGGCTGGTAAAACTTACATTCCGGTGGGTGGGTGGGTTGGGTTTGTGGTTTGTTTGGTTTTTTTAAAGAAATTGATTGACTTAATTCTATAATCTTTTTTCCAACAGGAGGAACAATGGACTGGCTCCCAACAAAGAGTCAACAGCTGCTGGGGGAAGGTGTCCCACCTGAAATGGAGATGATCTGGAAAGCTGAAGCACTCTGAATGAACCAACATGGGTTTGCGACTGTTGGGTTGTCTCTTTAATTTACCCACTGCTGTGATCTATGGGTCCCTGTCGCTCTTTGTTTCCATTTTGCACAATGTATTCCTCCTATATTACGTGGACACCTTCGTTTCTGTTTACAAGATTGATAAACTGTCCTTCTGGATTGGGGAGGTAAGTTTCTGAGCCTTCTTTTTTCCTACCGTTCTCAAGGTATGCAGTAGGATCTGAAACCAAAGCATCCTGTTAGAATATGGGAGAACATTTTGGTAGCTCAATTTCTTTTTTGGCAGGAAGTGATAAAGGAGCTAGTAGTAGTGCAGCTAAATTGGGTGACCTAGCTCTTCTCACTCATACAAATATACAAAGATAGTGAGTCGGGGGTCTAAACACCAGCAACTTACGTTTTAAAGAGTGCCTTTCCTCTTGGAGAATCCCAGCGCATTTCAAACTACACACAGCAGCAATGAAGCACAGCATTGAATGAGTCTGAAAATCAGACTTCTTGAGTGCCTGTGTCTAGATTTAGGCACCCGGGTTTGAAAATGTTGGCCTCTGTGCATTATTCCATCACCTCCCAAAGCATGAGTTCAAACGTGACTTTGAGTCATGTATGAAAATGGGTAGTGTAACCCTATTTGCCAGTAGATATTTTTTTATACAACATAAAGCCATTAAACAGTATGACTCTCAGCCTGGAAAGGCACAGTATGGGCACAGAAAGGGGGTTTGCAGTATAGTGCCAAGGCATATGTGTTAGTGGTACATTATCACTATCCAGTACCAATTGGTTATTATCCCAAGGAATTGTAATGGGTCCCCATCTGGATGTTGGTTACCTCAGTAACAAGACTCGACTGCTGAAGTGATTCATTGTGGCTTGTCTCACTATTGTGTATCTCTTTTCTAGACAGTGTTTCTAATTTGGAACAGCCTCAATGACCCTCTCTTCGGCTGGTTGAGTGACCGGGTATTTCTTAGCACACAACAGTAAGTTTGTGCCATTCGTATCCTCCGTTAAATGCTGAAAAGTTAATATCTTCAAAGTAGGCTGGAAAAGATTGTGAAAATGTCACCTTGAAAAGACTGATTGTTAGAAGAGGACTATTACCTAGGTATGAAAATCTTAAACTCCCCTGCTCATGGTATCCTGAAAAGTTGGATGTTGCTGTTGTGGCTTCAGGGTTGGGTGCTGCTTGTCTATCATTTCAGTGTCTGGAATGTATGGAGGAGGAGGTCATTCACAGGTGTAGTTATACTAATGCCCCCAGGCAAGTCACCTTGCGGGACTGAGTCTGGAACTCTGGATCTAAAAGCACAAGCCTCTGCTGCTTAAGTCCCATTAAACTTGGAGTCAATAGCTGATGTACTAACCTCTCTACATGGTCCGTCCACTAGAGGGAGACAGAGCTACACTGTTATAACCAGTTCAACAATCTGCATTGCCGCAGATTTACCGTGGGATTGTGAAGTAGACAGTGCTGGCCTGCCAAGACGGGCTCTGTTCACTCCTGTGTGTTTGCTCATGTTCCTGGTGTTGGGGCCTGTTATCTCCTCACATTAGCAGAGTGAGACGGGAGCCGAACAAAGACACTTACTACCCTGACAAATGCAGTGTTGAGATCACTTCCATTACCCTCTGAGCCTTTCCTATAAGGGAATAGAGGGTGTGGCAGGGACACTTCCCAGGGATTGTGATCAAAGTTTTTCTCTTCTCTTGCAGGTCAGGGGTGGAGATCTCCTCACCAGAAGTCATTCTTAAGAGACTTAAGGCACTGAGCTGCAATGGGCCCCTTTTTGCCATCTCTTTCCTGGCTTTCTGGGTTTCGTGGGCCCATCCAGGTCTACAGTTCCTCCTATGCCTCTGCCTCTATGACAGCTTTCTTACCGTGGTGGATCTCAACCACAATGCCTTGCTCGCAGACCTTGCTGTTTCTGCAAAGGACAGGACTAGCCTAAATTTCTACTGCTCGCTTTTTAGTGCCATCGGTTCCCTCTCTGTCTTCATGTCCTATGCAGTGTGGAACAAAGAAGACTTCTTTTCTTTCCGGATATTTTGTGTGGTGCTGGCTCTCTGCTCTGTTGCTGGATTTACTCTGGCAACGTGGCTGCTAAGACAACGATTTGAGACTGAAGTGAAAGTGAAATGGGACCAAGAGTCAACTTTAAAAGAGTAAGTGGCACCAAACTCCATACATCTGATGCTGTGGGTCTGGGTCTCGGATGGGTTGGTACGTAGGGTGGCTAGTCCCCGTTGCGCTGTGGCTACACTCTGTTTTTAGTGTGCTAGCTCAGTCAGCTGGGACTTGTACGTGCAGCTCCAAGTGTAGCTAGTCCCTTAGTCTCCTACATCACTTTTGAAAATGGGAACCTAAGAAGCCCAAGTCACGGAGGCATTTTTGAAAATTTTACCTGACAGCTGTAGCTTCCTCCCTTCAAAATTCAGAGTAGCCAAAAACAAACAAACAACCTAAAGCAACTGAGTCCTGAGGAAAGACTCAGAAAACTGGCCCACACTAACTAGTCCCTTAAAGTCAGACGTGCCATTGCACATGCCAGAAAGCGCGTTTAATCTCAGTGCAGTTATTCTGAGTGCATGTGGTGTTGGGAGTATCCTGCTTACAAGTGCCTGAGAGCCCATCTACACAGAGCTTCAGTAGTTGCATGTGTAGTTCTGCACACAGTTGTGACTGGCTCACTAAAAAATGGGCTCTTTATGTCTAGCTTGGCTAGCTGACAACTAGTAGGTGGTTTTCATGTCTCCTTACAAGTATCTATGTGTAAATACCAGTGAGGAAAAGGGGAATTACTTGAAGTGTGTATGGAGCAATAATTGGGAATTATGGGATGAATTTAAGAAAAGGAAGATTTAGGCTGAGGACCAAGAAAGGTATCCTAATGTTGAGATCTCCTGGGCCGTGAATAGGCAACCCCCATCTCATGGGACATCTGAAACTAGACTGGGGCATAGCACTAGAGAATATATTGCTGACAGTAATCCTGTTCTTGGTGGCTGATGGACAAAAAGTTACCTGTAGCGTCCATCCTTTAATTTCTAGAGTATACACTAATAGTAAAAGGCCTGTACCTGTTAAAATGTCAACACAGCATTGTCATAGAAATGTACTTGCTCTCCCTTTACCATGAGGATGGAAAAAGTAAATGCATCTTTCTTGTCTGTCTTACTGGCTAAGCAGGTGGCGTTTGTGCGCACTGCTCATTCCAGTGTTCATAACTCACTGTGCCCTCGTGCTGCCCCCTCTGCTGTATCCACTTGTCTCGTCTCTCAAACTTAGATTGTAAGTGCTCTTTGGGGCAGGGACTGTCTTTGTTTGTGCAGTGCCTCGCATCCTGTAGGTGTTCCCACAATAAAACTAACAATAAAGATTGGGACTAGAGTAGTAGGAATCGGCATTGAACTGTAACAGCTGCCCGGGGGAGGGATGCTCTTACTGGTGCAGATTTGAGTTGCTGACTCACTAGGCAAATATTTCAAGTTTTTGAGGACCCTGGTTCTGGTGGTTGCTTCCATCAAGGAACAACTATCATGCCAGCTTCTGACTTGCTCCATGAACAGAGAAGATGAATAATAGGAACTGGTAGGATGAGGAAAGTAGCCAGCATTGCATCAGTGCTTGCACTTCTGAGCAAAGCAGGGAGCACGGAGTTTACAAGCCCTTTGGGAGTGCAGAGGAAGGGGGATAACAGAAATTCTCTCATGTGCAGAAACAATTAGAGTGGTTTCATTGTCCCTGTAGATTGTACATTGAGCAACCATCTGCCCCGCTGGAGAAGAGGATTACACTGGGAGAATACCTCAAACAGCTGTCCCGGCACCGCAACTTCCTCTGGTTCGTCTGTATGAACCTAGTACAGGTAGGTCTAGCACGGACACTCTAACCCAGTGACTCAGATGGTGAGCTGTTAGCCAAGCCAGTCTGAAACTGGTTCAACAGGATATTGATTCCTTATGAGGAAAGTATGGCATTACTCAGACACCACTAACTCCTCTTGGTGCTTTCTGCACATGCTTGCATGGCTTCGCATCAGCCAGCTGTTCTGTTACGCGGGGACTCCCTGCGGAGTCTGGGGGTCTTGCTCGTCCATCTACAGCCAGGAGGGGGGATTAAGTGTAGGCTCAGCTCCTGCTTCACTAAGGAGTGCAAACTCTCAGCCTTCAGAGACCATCATGTGCAGTTTAACAAGGATGCTGCTGTTTAATGCCTTATCATGGCTGTTGGGGAGAATTACTAGTGCAAAAGCAACAGCCAGAGAAATCCTAGTTCCTGTCATCGAATGCCTTTGAGAACAGCTTGGAAACGTGTTTTTTTTCCAGCCATCCTGTGAGAGCACTGAATCCTCCCCTTCATGTCACAGCCACTGGGCTCTACTCAGAGCTAGTGCTTGGTTCCTCAGCTAGGTGCCCACAGAGATGACTGCCAAACAACACAACACTCTCCACAGCATCGCTGCAGCACTTGCAGCCTCAGTTGCCTCTGAGTGTTTGGTTCTCCCACATAGTAACGCACAGACAAGCTGCTGGGCTGGGCTGACTACGGGCCTCTCATGGGGTACAAGGGTGTAACTGATGGCTCTCAGAGGTGAGTGCAGATGGCATCAGAGCACTTGTATAAACAAAGCACACTGTCTGCAGAACCAACTTCTCCGCTTTACAGATCCTACCTGTAAGAATTGCATGTTACCCTGGCACTGGACTCCTAGTGGAGCGGAGCCGTGCACGCTATTGGCTTAGCCTTCCTCCTCTTGCTCTGAGTATTGCTGGTCAGTTAATCTTCATGCTGTTTTGTCACAGGTTTTTCACTGCCACTTTAACAGCAACTTCTTCCCTCTCTTCTTGGAACACTTGCTGTCAGATCGGATCTCTCTCTCTACAGGATCCTTCCTACTAGGTGAGCCTGCATGGGGAACTGGAGTAAGCAGCACCCCACAGCTGCTGGTTGGTACTCGGCTCAGGCCTGAGTTCGTTCTTCACAAACACTGAAAGCACTGAGACTCGGGAGAAAGGTGCACTCTTTTCTCAGGCCTCCAGGAGTGGCACTTGGCCCACCTGTCCCCAGATGGGACCATTGCTGCAACCATCTTGGATCTTAGACTTTCCCCTCCCTTCCCAGACACACAAGAAATAATCTTTAACACTTTTCAGGGGCCAGAGGGGGAGAGGCAGGCATTGGCTTTCTAACCTGGGTTTCACAGATGTAAGGCGGTGTGTGTGAGAGAGAGACCTAGATCTGGTCAGCTCTGCAAACCTGGGTTCAACTCCAGACGTGGGGGATGAGACCATGAGCTCAGTCACTTTCTCTTAGTTGCTGTTGGAACATGCCCAAGCTGCCATCCAGATCTGCCTGATTGGCAGTGCAAGGTTCAGTGGAGACTCAGCTCTGGAATACGAGGGTTGTCTCTGGGTCAGGGCTGAGATGCATTGGCACTGCCATGTCGTCTGACTTCCATCAACTCAAGCAGCTTCTGGGTGGAATCTAGTCGGGTAAGCACAGAATTGGGAGTTCGCAGCTTCAATCCTGGTTCTAATGCTAACTGCCTGTGTGTCACTGGACGAGTCACTTATCTCCCAATGCTCCCGTCTGTGAAATGGGGATACCACTTGCCTCCTTCACGGGAGAGTTGTGAAGATCTTTGTGCAGTGCTTGGATGTAGAGAGTGCCGTGTAAGGGCTGAGTATTTCACTCAGTTTAAATGTGTATAGCTGTTCTGTGGTTTTCTTCCGAATGCCCTGCTGGATGAATTGAGCCTTGTCTTGTCTCTACTCGGTCTCTAGGCACTGTCAGATGCTGAAACTCCCTTGAACTGTCTGTGCCTCTCTCCACAGGTATTTCCTACATCGCCCCTCATCTCAACAACCTCTATTTTCTGTCTCTCTGTCAAAGATGGGGGGTTTACGCGGTGGTGCGAGGGCTCTTTTTCCTGAAGCTGGCTCTCAGCATCATCATGCTTCTAGCTGGACCCGACCAGGTGCATCTTCTCTGCATCTTCATAGCCAGGTATGTTGCTTATCTAGGGTTTCATTGACCTCTGTGCCTGTGGTTGAGCTGGTGGGAGCTGTCCTGGTGGTTAGCCACCCCAGGGAGGCCATGAGGCATCTCCATTTTACAGCTGGTGAATGTCAGGCATACAGGTGAGGCATGGTCATGCAACAAGTCACTGTCAGAGCTGAGAGTGGAACCCAGAAGACCTGACTCTTGACCAAGTGCTCCAACCACTAGTTCATGTTGTCCCTTCTAGTGAAGAACTCCTTCACCTCCAATGGACTGAGCAAGATGAACTGAACAATCCATGATTACACCACACTTCATGCAAACCTTGTTTAAGAACAAATGAGGAAATAACATGCTCTTCACAAAAATCAGGCTGTGTCTGCAAATGCAGGCTTGGCTCTGGCGTGTGGGACTCTCCTCACATAACTGTCATCTGGTGTGTGAACTCAACTGGTAGGCTTTGCCACGTGACCTGTTCCTGGCAGGTGAACCTCCTTAAGGCAGCAGGCTGTACAATGGACTCGTGTTCAAGACGAGGCAGATGATTGTTCTCTGGATCAACTGCATTTTGGTAGTTCTGGGTTGGTGGGAGGAAGGCTGGGCTTGTGGCTAAGCCACTAGCCTGATACTCGGGAACTGAAACCAGTGCTCCCAGCTCTGTGATGATGTGACTTGGGCAAGTCACTTCCCCTTTGTGTGCCTGTTTCCCCATCTGTAAAATGGGGCTCAGAGGGGTGTTTGATGTTAAACATCATGTAAAGTGGCTGGCAGGTGCTAGGGAGAGGCAAAGCAGCATTGTTCTGTATTAGCCCTCTCTGTATTTAAGTGCTCCCTGTTTCCACGTGCTGCTGTGTAATGCCCTCTCTGCTATGCTCCGCAGTAACCGGGTGTTCACGGAAGGAACATGCAAGCTGCTGAACCTGGTTGTCACTGACCTGGTGGATGAGGATTTTGTCTTGAACCGCAGGAAGCAGGCTGCCTCAGCACTGTTGTTTGGGATGGTTGCCTTGGTAACCAAGCCTGGCCAGACCTTTGCCCCCCTGATTGGCACCTGGCTGCTCTGTACTTATACTGGTACGTGACGTGGGGAAAGCAGCAGGGTGGGGCTGAGATGAGTGCCTCTGCTGGCTTTTGTGATGTGAAATACTTGGACAAGGTCCACTGGCAACATAGTTTGCAAGATGTTTTATTACCTAAGTTAACGCTCCATGTACTTTTGCACCCATGCCACCTGGGGCAGTGCCTGTCAGAGCGAATAACCTGAACAGGGGAAGGCCTGGGCAGTATTTGTGTGGGAGACCAGCTGGTGGGAAGTGGTTGTAGTGATGCACTGTGGGCGTTCGTACTGTCCCATGTCCCAGTGCGGCTCCACGTGCTGCATTTCAGCGAAGGATTAGCTTGACACCACCGCCCACCTCTCATGTTGAGAGACATCTGATTTGAACCCAGGCCTGTGGGATCGAGATCTGATGCTAATCCATCTCCCCACTCCTGTGCTGAACTCCTCCCTAGCGAGATCTGTGCATTGTTATCCCAGGGACACTGTATCTGAATTGCACTGAGCGTTGCTTGGGCTACAGGACCTTGTGTTCGGTGGCTGTGAAGCCTGTGCACAGACCCCTGAGGGAGGTGTGGTGAGCTCCATGTTACAATGGTGGTTGAGGGTGCATGGAATTTTTACAATTTCTAGCTGAGTCTTACACACTGTTTTGGTCTCAGGTTATGACATTTTCCAGCGGGCCCCTCTGAGCAACGTGGTGAGCGCCCAACCGAAGCTGGCGTCCAACGGAGCCTGGGAACCAACTCTGCGCCAGGGCTGCTTTTACCTCCTCGTCTTCATCCCCATCACATGTGCATTACTGCAGCTCCTCAGCTGGTCGCAGTTCAGCCTGCATGGAAGGCGCCTCCAGACGGTCAAGTCCCAGCGCCAAAGCCTGACTCAGAGTCGATCACAAGAGATCAAAATGATCTAGATGTGCCTGAGCCCTTCGGCTCTCACTGACTCTGTGCTGTGGGTGTGGTTCCGCCTCTCTACAGTCCGGGGGATGCAGACTGAGGCGAAGGGGCTTGCTGGCTAAGAACTGAAAGTGTTTACAATTCAACTGTGAAATGCTCACAATGCAGACGTTTCCTCGCTCCGGGGGCAGTCGGTTTGGAAGGCAGGTACATCAGAGACGGGTGACTGGTGTGTGCTCAGAGTGGGGGCGTTTGCTCAGGCAATCAGATGGAGTCTTAGCTCTTGCACTTTTTGCACCCAGGGCCCACTGAGGTGCTGCTGATCTCAAGGGAGGGTGGGTGACAGTGGCCTAGAGCTGTGGTCTCCAAACTTTTTTGATCGCACACCCCTATCAGTAAAAAATTTTTGAGCACGCACCTCCTGCCGTGCCGAAGCGCCAAAAAAAAAAAAAAAAAAGGGCTCCTCCTGCCGCACACCCCCAAGGATCCTCTTGCGCACCCCACTTTGGAGACCACTGGCCTAGAGTAAAGGAGACAGACATTCTAACACAGTCTCTAGTGCAATATCTCACCTCATGGGGCATCGGTGGGAAAGCAGATGCTGTTGGGCCAGCCCAGTGGTGGTTTTGTGCAGTGTTATCCAGGAAACCTGGGCTCAGGGCAGCTCTGCACTAGACACTTTACCAGTGTGCTAGTTAAGGGGGTGACTTGTTTTATTTTTTACTGGCAAAAGTCCATCCCAGTGTAGATGCAGTTATACCAGCAAAATAAAGCTTTTGTGGATAAAGCTTATTCAGTTCAGGGAACTGGCATAAGCCACACAGGCAAAAGCACTCTTGTGTGGCTATAAGCTGCATCTCCACCTAGCCTTACCTGCAGTCCTTTCTAGGGTGGACTAGGCCTTTGTCTCCTGCCCTGCTCTCGCTCCCTAGCTCTGCAGGAGCAGGTAGGGTTGCAGAGGCATTGTGGTCATCTCCTTCAGGGAATGGATGCTGGTCCTCACCAGGCCCTGCAGCCAGTTAGGGGGCAGGCTTGACATTCTCCAGCGGGGGAGGGCTGGAAGAAGTGGTGACTCTGAGGCAGGGCTCTGGAGTTAGAAGGGGGTTTACAGGATGAAAAATTGGGATGGGGGAATCTTCTAGGTGTTTGGGATTGGGATTTAAGACTCTTCAGTGTAGCTACTCCCTACTGACATAATGCCTTACCCCTAATTCACTGCAGAGAAGTGACACAGTTCTTAGATCGAGCCCATTCTGTCGGGTTAGTCCCAATGCTGATCGCTTTCACGCAACCTGCAGAGGCCTGTGTGAACGTGATGCCGGATTCCCTGCAGTGAACGGGCAGGGTGGGGGAGAGCCCACGTTCCCCGTGTTACTGCCTTTCATCCGGGGGTTGCTTATCTGCTTCTTTCTCTGCAAAATGGCTCATGGTTCTTGAAGCCCGTTTTTAAACTGAGTTTAGGACCGCCTGATGTGGGGAGGGGGCTCTAGAGCCACCCCCACCCCAAAGGGAATTGATACAGCAACCCCAGCTTTGTTGGGGACCTGTCCACCGGCGAGACCCATGCCCGGTGAGATTGCTGAGCACTGTAACCCCTCCTCTTTGCAAGACGGCCCAGGGCCTTACCACACAAGCCCTGTGCGCTCTCTCACATTCATCCCTGCACCACAAGTAATCCCCCGGAAATCAACAGAACTGCCTCAGCCTGGAGCTGTCGGATTGAGCTCCATGCAACCAACCTGTACCTGGTAAGGGGAATAGTTGTGTCTACCCCAGTCTGGGGGCAGCGGAGCCTCTCTTTTAAATCATCCTGACAAACCTGATTGAGCCTAAGACTGAGCCCATCCCTCTCCGCTGCTGGGGAGGGGAAGCCCAACCCTGCCCTGCTACCAGGTTCTTCTTGTACTCCTAGTTCTTCTCTTCTACCATTCGTGAAATTCAGGCCCCACTGAAGTTTATGGTAAAACTCCCACTGACTGCAGTGGGGGCAGGATTTCACCCCATCTGTGTAAACAGACGTTAGTTTTGTGTCATCAGAGAGTATACGTGCTGAGAATGTAGAGCGGTATCTAAACCAGTGAGAATGGCAGCTCTGATGATAAACTGCTTAGCTTTTTTTGTCTTGTCTTGTTTAAACCATGTCCTAGTGGTTGACTGACTAACTCAGCAGCCAAACAGAAGTTCTGGAGCGAGATAGCAAGAGGGGTTGAAATCTACAGAAGACCTTGACCACGCTGGGGTCAGAACAAGCACACATTTGTAGCTGGCACAGTTCTGATCCAGGTTGCATGCAGGAGATGTTGATCTGTGAAATCCCCTAACTGGTTTGTCTCGGAATGGTTTATGCTGAGTCTATTTCTGCTTGAGTCGGCAAAACTGGATCATGACCAAGATGCATCGTGCCAAAGCACTTTGGGATTTAGTCTCAGTTTTGGCTGGAGGTGGACAAGCACCCACCTACTCTCACAGCTGCAGGAGAACAAGGAAAGCATCAGGAGCATGTGAAGGCCAAACTCCCCCATCATGTATGTGCTGTGTATTCAGTTAGACACCAGCTAGGTGCCCCCGTTGGCGCTTCCTCTTGTTCTGCTGTTCAAGGTGGAGCCAGCCAAACTACTGCCGTTTCACCTCAGGACACAGCCGCCTTGGGTCTCAGACCAAGATGTAACAAAGCTGTAATAGTTACCGCCTGGAGGCATCTGTATCTTTTGACGGTTAACTCATAACTTATTTATGTAATTTTTAACAAACTTTGACAGATTCTTCATTTCCTAATGAGCTGATTAAAAATTACCTTTTCTGTATTGCTGTTCTGCGGTTCAGTTTGGGGTGGGTGTGTTAATAATGTCAGTTTCTGGAGTGCTTTACAAACCAGAGAATCACTTTTTCAATTGCTAAGCTTGCTCTGAAGAGTTCTGGACTAGATTGCTCCTCTTGGATCTCCAGCTCCCAGCATGAGCCAAGTGGGATCTGTAGTTCCTGAGGTTTTGGCCCTTTGCATTACCAGTAGCTGTTGCACACAAACCAAATACCAGTGTCCTCCCAAATGCTCCCCTCAAGTTCGTTTGACTGCAGCCCGGGCAGGCGCTCCCTATCCGAACTGCAGCCCTTGTGGCAGACCGTGCCAATTTTGGTTTTGCTTGTGACTGGGTTTTTGTATCGTTGGTATCTGACCTGTTCCAGGTTCTGCCGGGCTCGGAGCACCAGTCTCTTTCCAAGCCCATTTCCTTGGCCAACATCACCGCACAGGTGCTGCTGTGAACTGTAACCCGCAGACTTTTCAGTCTTGGACATAGGCACGGCAGCCATATGGTCCCCGCTCCAAATGCCTATGGTACTGTTGCTTCAGTTTAGCCCACTTGGTTCTCTGGCCTGAAGAACCTGTTGCTGGACTAGGGGACCTAGGCTTTCCCTCCTTAGGGTTCCGTTACTGGAGTTCAGGCTCTGTTGATGTGGTCTGGAGGAATGAAATCCGGCTGGTTGGGTTTGGGCCTGTGTGTGAACTTGCAGGTGCCAGTGTTAATGATTTGGGGCATTGCTTGAGCTACTTGCTGCCCTGTAGTGAGGGGATCTTCAAAGATGCAATAACGAACTGCCTGTAATTCTCCTGCTTCACAAGAGACCGTTGGCCACGCTACCCCTGCCAGCGCTCAAAAGGAATAGTTTTGAGGTGAGGCATTATTGGTATTCTAATAACTCAGGAGTTGGGCGGAAGTGGGCAGTGGGAAGCATGTGCTAAGCAGGGAGGGAGTTGTGCACTGTTGGAGGATCAATACGTTCTCATCAGTGGTGTAGGGGTAGGACTCACTTTCGGGGCCAGAGGTCCCATGCCCAAATCCTGGGGAAGCCCTGCTGGCAGAAGTGAAAATTATGGGTCCTTAATTTTGTCCCAAACACCATTAGGGCAAACAAACAAGTTCCTTTGTTTTCATGCTGCGGGGTTTGTGCTGATTGCTAGCTATTAGATCAGGAGGAGACCTAATGTGGAGAGCAAATATCCTACACCTGCTAAGTGGGGTTCTTACACCTGCCTCTGACTCTCTGTTTCTGGCCTCTGCTGGAGACAGGATACTGGGCTAGATGGACCTGGAGTCAGTCTGGCAATTCCTCCGTTCCAAGGTACTGCTCGGGAACTTCAGCTGCTGGGAGTTGGCCTCCATTTCCAGAGAAACCGGATTGTGTGAATAGCACTCTCTGCCGACATTGGCCCATGGAAAATTCTTGCCTTGGTTTGTATCTGTTTGAGGTTCACAGTCCCCCTTCCCTAATATTTTGCTCTGCATCCCTCTGGTTGTTCTTCCGTTCTTTGCAGTGGCTATCAATTTTATGTGGGAGGAGGGCCACGGGGGAAGGGAGGGAATTCAATGGTGTCGGATCTGGTGTCTGGCTCCCTCATTTTACATTCGTCTGTTGGCTCTGAGCGTGAGTGAACTCGCAGCCCCATCTGTGCACAATCCTCCTTCCCGCAAATACAATTAGAGGGAACGTTCCGCTGACTGCTCCTTCCCCATCAATGTTAATATGGCTCTTCCATCTGCTCTGATTCCCCTTAGCTAATAAACACTTAGTGGCTGGAGCCAGTGCTCCCCCTTCCAGCGTGGTTCTGCTACCAGCCAGCTCTCCTGGTCGCCTTTCTGCTCTACTGCACACCTGGAAGTGAGGGAGCAGCCACTCCCCTGGACCAGTTCTCTTCTCCGGTTGGAAAGTAGCTGAATCCATTGAGCATGTGTACTTCTGCCTACGGAGAGGAGCACAGTACTGTCAATGTGACACGGGAGGGGTGTGTGTGCAAGGACTAGGACCTGCTCCGATATTTTACCACTTCCCCTTCCTGCTGGACTTCCCTCCTTTGCCTCCTCAGTGGTCTGTTCTTCCCAAAAAAAGCTCAGACATTGGTCTTCAGCTGGCACTGAATGAGTCACAGCCACCTTCAACTCCATTGCTGCAGCACTCTAGTCTCTGGGAAAGCTGTAGCGCCCGGACACCATCTTAAAGCTTCAGGCACAAGTGCCTTCAGGGCAGCATTGGCTGACCTATTAGAGCAAAATTGGTGTGAACACTAGTGGGCCCCCTGTGGCAAAGGGTAACCCCTGAGCCTAGCCGTTGTACCATCAGCTAGGTAATCTCCCTCGGCTATAGCTTTCCTGTGTAGCACCCTACTGCCTCTATGCTCCACGTAGACAGGAACTGCCTTCCCTTCCTCTCAACGCCACCTTGTGACAGGGTAGGAAGGGGGCAGCCCCCTAAGGAACAACTGTAGCTGAGAAGTGACTGTTTCTAAATAAGTCAGTGCATGAGCAGCTGAGATAAAACTAGCCACAGGTGCCTGAGTAACCCTGGATAGTGATTCACACCCAGCTCCAAGGCAGGAAGCTGACTGAATTAAATACAGTTCAGGGCTGGCACTTTCCGTGCATGCTCCACCTGCGCCTGCCCCAACCACTGATGCTTCAGACAAACCAGGAAATGAAAATGCAGAGCAAGGGCTGGGATCCTCTGAAGTAACTTCTGGTCTGGCTCATGTGTGTTCTGCTCTAGAACCATTGGCCTTCAGCCTCAAGCTAACACCCTGGGGGCTTGTCTTGAGCAGTCTTCTGCTCCACAGAATAGAAGCAGGTGCCAGGTGGAAACTAAGTTTGGTTTTGTAAAACACTGTCTTGTACTTGTTCTGGCCTGTCTTCCAGCTGTGATGACTGGGACTTCGCCTTTATTACTTTCAAACCATCGGTCCCATCTTTCCTGGCAGCAGGGGTCTGCTAGGTTGTTCGATGATCCTTGCTAACTGTCGTGCTGTGAAACGAAGTCTTACATTTCCAACTGCAGCCCCATTTGTTCGCTGAGTCTGTCCCCTTCCTTTCAGCCTATTGCTACCTGTGGAGTAGCCTGTTGTGAACTGTTCCACCAGCCTGTTACCTTCTCTGGAGTTGGATTCCTCCTACGTGCCCCACTTCTACCATGCTGCCTACAATAACTTACCCAGCTGCCTGGGGCGAGGGCAGAGGGAGATTTTTTTAAAAAAAATACGTCTGTCAGTTACCCTCTTCCCCCTCAACTTGTCTGTTTGGTCCCCTTGTCCTACCCACTTTGAATGCTATGGAGTGTAAGTGAGTGTACAGCCCACAACAGTAACTTCTGTAATCACCACCAGCATTCCAGGGGAAGAAAGTGTCTCCCGAGCAATTGCTGTAAGAGCCTATCCAGCCCTCCCACCACTGCAGACAGAGAGAGGCAGGTTTGTATCTGAACAACTTTATTTAGGTACGTTGGGCGCCAGCAGGCACCATGGTGGGGAGAGGTGTGCGAGGAACAGCGTCAGGCTGATAGAACAAATGCTAGATTGCAGACAGTGCCTTGGGCTGGTCAATGGGGCTCACAAACAGAACACTGCCCAGAGCTGCTGCTCCTGCTAGCTCCAAGTCAGGATGAGGAATATGGGGTCAGGCAAGAGAAGAGGCAGCAGTCTTGTGAGCTGCCTTAACACAGAATCATTCCCTTTTTCCATGCATCACCCGCTATCGGATACTGTCCAACAATGGGAATACAGTACAGCTTATTTTCCAATGGAACAGGCTCTTTGTGTTAGCAGCTGTTCCTCAACAATGGGCGTTTACAGGTTCTCTTACTTAAAACTTGTTCTTAGAACTGGGATTAGTAGGAAGCTAAATAGCAGCCCAGTTTCCCACTGTTTGTTTGCAGGGGAAATGAATTTGGTGGTGGGGAGGGGAGGGAAAACGGTGGAGCCTTTGCACCACCAGCTGTACTGGCTAAGCCTTTCTAATCCATGTTACTGCTTGAGAAGTGCTCTGAGTACCGAAAGTGCACTGCTAACCGGGTAGCTGACCTCCCTGCCTTGTCCAGGGGGGAAGCTGGCACTATGCAGAAGATATGGCACTGAATGGACGTATGTTCCCAAACTGCCCTCTCCCAAAGTGGACTGTTGCATCCTATTGCTTTGTACAACCACAGCTGGCAGCTTTCGCCAAGGCCAGAGGCCCCTTCTGGTGCTTTGCAGCTTGAGTAAGTTAGTTCTGGGCCAGAGTGCAGCCTGCATGGCTGAACCTGCTCCCACTGTATAAAGCGAATGTGCTGCAAGTCATGCAAGCAAATGGATGGGGGCCAAGTAGAATTTGCCTACATGCAAATTAAAGTCTGGTGTCTAAATCCTCTCATTTCCCTTTTCTCCACACCAGCAACTGCCAACCACTGAAGCTGTAATAGAGGTGTAGCATTTGCTAGAGGTGGTGATCAAAACATGAAGCACTAAGACCTCTGGGAATTATATAAGCCTATTTCTTCCTTGTATCAGAGGGGTAGCCGTGTTAGTCTGAATCTGTAAAAAGCAACAGAGGGTCCTGTGGCACCTTTAAGACTAACAGAAGTATTGGAGCATAAGCTTTCGTGGGTGAATGCTCACTTGCGTCTGATGAAGTGGGCATTCACCCACAAAAGCTTATGCTCCAATACTTCTGTTAGTCTTAAAGGTGCCACAGGACTCTCTGTTGCTACTTCTTCCTTGTGGGTCTGGAAAAGACACACAGTAATTTCTTAGGCTCATGTTCGATGATATAGTAAAGATTTTAAACTCAAGTTTAGCTCTCTGGGGAGGCAGTAGATTGGCAAGGGGGGCGGGCTCCATGGGTGGCACTAGCTGCTTTCAGCTGAGGGGGACCCTCCTCCAGCAACTTGGCCTATTCCAAAGCAACTATTTAAATCAGATTTAGGGAGTGCATAGACCTTCAAGAGCCAAGGGCCTCAGAGCAGGAGAGTTAGCCCAAGGGAAGGAGACTGGTACAGCTCAGAGGTGAATTAGGAACAAATTGATTTCCACCTGGTGCAGGCAGGCTTGAGTGTGGAGTGTACGGATGGGATACAGAAAGGGAATCAATAAGCAACTGACTTACAAGGCTGTGAAAAGATAATCATGCTACAATTATAACCTAGGTCACTTTTACCTTGGTGGAGGCGGGAAACGGGAAGGACTTTATCAGCTGACTAGGAGACTAGGCCCTCATTGCAGAGCTCTCTCTTTTGTGCTGTCTGCTTTAGGCTATGGTGCTTTTATAACCAACTACAGTGTAGCTTCAGCCTACACAGCTGCTGCTAACATTGTATAGACTACTGTCCACTGTCCCCCTGCTACTGGTAAATCACCTGACCTGTGAGTGAGACCTTCCATAGAAAATTCTCTGTAGTCCATCTGCTGCTAGCCTATAAATCATAATGTCACCAAAGTCTCACTCCAAAATGAAATTGCATCTTGCCCCTGCACTGAGGTGTTTCTAGCAGGAGATTTTTGCTAAGGCCAGGGGCCTGAACATCTCACCCCTGGACAGTAAGTGCTAATTGGTGTTAATGAGGCATAGTGGCAGGCTGTCTATTAAGGCATTATCAGTTTACACCAGTGAGGACCCCGTGTTGAGATAGGAGGCCCCTGATCTTACTTGATTCAACACCCCAGCTGCATTAAGGTCTGGCTCAGGCTTCTTGGGCCACTGTGCATTTTGAACAGGTGGTACCTGCCCCTCTATACTAATGGCACTAGCTGCACTATATCACATTAAATCAGTGGAGCAGGAGCTACTGCCAGGGAAGGTCCTATCTTGCACCTCTCCCTTTCTAGCTTCATTGTTCTTAAATGGGTGTCAAATCTGCTGCTGTTTTGCCCTGTGTGGCACTGCCAGCCTTGCTCTTTTTAGTGGGGGTGGAAGGTGAGACTGACTCCCACTCACATTCTTGCTGGTGTAAACAGACAAGGCCCTGACACAAGCAGTAGGATTGAGCTGAGAGCAGCCTCCTCCTGGAATTTATTCCTCGGCAGGCTAAGAAAATTCTCTCTCTCCAAACACACAGGCTCACTCCATTGCAGAGCTGCGGTGACCGGATTCTGTTCTGCACAGGCAGTACCAGCCAGAAGTCACCCTGGAGCCTGTCAGTACCACAGCTGCAGGCATGATGCCGCCCAGGGGTATTAACAGGGGAAGGGGAGCTGGTGAAGCAAAGGATGCAATAGCACATGTGGGAATTACTGGTGTTTACAGCTTCCTTTTCAAGACCCAAAGCAGGGATTTACCACAGGCATGTTACTTAAAAACAAACAAACAACCAAACCACTATCCAGACTGTCTTCGAAATGAGCAGGCTTTAACCCTTTTTTCCCTTTAATGATAAGCACGTCTGCATTTGCATCATTGCAGGTCTGATGGAGGCAGCTGGCTTTTATAACAGAAATAAAGCGAACTGCATATTCTAAATCCAGGGATTGAATCTCCAACTATCCATGTAGTATCGAAAATAAAAATAGGTGGCTTAAAAAAAAAAGGTTTGGAAGGCTCCACACCCCATCCATGCCCCTAGAGGTGCAAATCTGTTAGGAGGCAGGAAAAGCTCTGGGTTTCCCCAGGCTGTTTTCCTCCGACTCCAATCTTGTTCTTTTCAAAGACCCAGACTTGGCTCTATATAGAGATAAGGCTACTACCCTGACTCCACAACTCTGTTGAGTTCTCCTCTAATACTTAAGTGGCTAAACCAGGCAAAATATTTGGTTCTCAGCAGCAACCTCATTTAAAAAACAAAACACTGAGACGGAAAAAGCACCAGCTGCTCCCTCGCAACAGAACACACCCACCCAGAGCAGGTCCGTGGCCTTACAGCCGCGATAGCAGTGTCATTCCAGAAGGGTTAGCCTAGCGTAACACTACAGTGGAATGAAGAACTAGTGCTCAGGACCCTGATGATAATGCCAGCGTACTAAGAGTTCATTGTCCTCTCATTTGGTGCATTCCTAGAGAACGTTGACTCACTAACAGTAACCAAGGAGGGTTGCGGGGTTGGCTAGCTGGCTACTATGCTAAGCATGTGTGCTGTAAACATTAGTGTTCGCATTAAACAATGGAAAATTCAGTACAAGGGTGTTGGAAGGAGAGGGGCAGCTGCTGCCCCTGGCACCAGCAGCTCTGTTAGTAACTTAGATATTAAACATTTCAATAAATAAAATAATTCAAAAGTTACAATGTGCTTTTTCGCCCAAGGACGGATCAAATGGAAGAGGTTTTGTCCGGCTGAAAATGGATGGTTCCTTGACCCTGCTGTGGGAGAAAGGGGGAAATGCAGCTTCCTCTCTCACAGAGTGAGAGGGGACACGGCCCTGTAAACCTCTCAAAACAAAATCAAAGCAAACACCCCAGTGCCTTTGTACCCACCCTGGGCACCTGCTTCACAAGGAGAAAGAACGTCAGCGAACAAGAGCCTAAGATCAAAACCGTCTAGTACAATCAGAGCGGCGGAGGGGTGGTTGTGACCTACACCATGCAATACAAACTAAGTCCTGTCAGCAGCTGCGCCAGCTGTGCAGTCGTGGTCCATAGCCACGGAGCAGGCTAAGAGTTTACACACACACACACACACACGCAGACACACCAAAAACAAAACAAAAAGGGGGGGGGAGGGGGAGTTGTAACTGCTCCCAATGTGTTTTTTCTGTATAAAAATATATGGACAAAAAAAGATGAACTGGCCAGCAAGAGACACTCACTGCTGGGCACCCACGAAGGGCGAAGCAGCCAGTGCTGTGGAGTGCCGGAGGGGAAGGACACACCAGGGTTTGGAGTCTTAGGCTACGTGACTACAGTGGTCAGATCCCTTCTGTCCAGCTGTTCCATTTCTAAGCCATTCCCTTTCTCTAGAGTGACAGACGTGGCCGCGAGAGGAGTGAAGGTAAAAGGAATGGGTCCAACCGGAGAAATGGGGCCTGGTTATTTTTCCTCCTACAGTTTAAAATTAAAAAAAAAAAAAAAAAAGAAGTAGTGATCTAATCCTTCTCCTCCTCTTTGCTCCATGACATTCTGGGGCCATGCTCGGCACGCACACACACACGCAGCTCCTCACAGACACTCGGACTCAGAAAAGCGAGTGTAGGACGGGTCCCAGGGCTAGAAGGTTTTTCGGTGGATGGCACGGGCTCCATCTTCTTCGTATTCCTTCTTTGAAACCCACATTTTCTTAAAGGTGTCCAACGAGGCCAGAATAGAGCCACTGGGGGGAACAAGTGAGTGTGTTAGCAGAGCGGGACAAGCCAATGGCTCTCAGTGTGGGTCTTGTTCCCTCATGTGTTATCTGGCCTGCGGCAGCACCTCCAGGCTGCTGTCAGGGGCCAAAACCCCAGGGTGCTAACCCCTGTGCAAACACCGAGAGAGAGATCCTGCCCCAAAGACCTTACAAACCAAATCCCCATTAGCTTCAGGCCCATGCTGAGCTTTCAGCCACCATCATCCATGCTTTGTCCAGGGGGGAGCTGAAACTGCACCAACAGCCAGCAAGTTGCAAAACACAGGCGTTGCCAGCAAAGTGGATTTTCTTATTTCAACACCTTAAATAGGCACAGTCAGCTAGGAGCCTCCGGTCCTGATTCCCCTCTCACTTACTGGTCTAAATCAGCAGTAACTCCATTGAAGTAACGGTATCAATGAGGGGAATCCGGCCCCAAACTCTACCATCCAAGGGCCTGCTCCCATTGACCGGGATGGTGCAGGATGAGATGAGAATGGCAGGACTAGAGGAGACCACTGGGTACAGCACCAGGATAACATGGTGAACAGGGTTTCCTTGGCAGAGGCTGCACTTATGACTGTGCAGAGTCTAGCATGGCTTTATGATGAAACAGACCATGCCGAGGATTAGGGACAAGACCAGAACCCTGCTCACAACAAACATGACCCAATATGGCCGGGGCTACCCTGGCTCTAACTGTAGTGGGGGCAGGGCCCAGGTTTGAGCTACACAGTTAAAGCCAGTGCTTTACGGCGTTGCTGTGCAGTACGTACCCGATCCACGTGGAATATAATCTCTCCTGAGGAGCAGATATCTGAAAGGAGAAGCAGGGAACTCGGATTAATATTGTCCCCAGGATACAAGCTGCTCCCCAGTTACACCCTCCTCCCCCAAGTCACTCCCACCCATCAGATACATGCATTGGGACTGCTTCGGCCTTCAAGCTGCGCTGCCAGGGGATGACCATGGTCATGGTCAGAGATCCTGCAGGTGGGCTGCATTGCCAGCAGGAAGCCTCTCTCCAGAACCCAAATGGGTTTCAGTTCTAAGAGCAGCCACCACAGGGGTGCCTGGGCTGTTCCGGAAAAGCTGGAATTGGTTTGAAGGGCAGGGCAGCGGCCACCTCAGCCTGGTGTTTCCAAGGGACTCAAGGCTGCTGAACCTCGCCAGTCCACCGCAGGGGAAAGGCAGGCCAGGAAGCCTCGAGAGGAGAGCGCCCCTACCCTTATTTTGACGTCCTTGGGTGCTAGTTTCTTCACTTCGCTCAAGAGCCGGTCTCCAAAGCCTGCACAGAAAAGGAAACTTGCCTTTAGTTTGGGCCCCTGAGCATGGCCCCCGACCAGTTATTGCAGATGCAGCGACGCTCCGCGCAAAATACTGCGGGGTGACGGCCCTGCCTGCCCACTGAGCCCATGCCTGTAAAGTCCCTTCCCAGAGTCCTCGGCAGGCTCGGGGAGCCCACAGAGCATAACCGGAAAGAAGATCCTGATACGGCGGATGTAGGGGCTTCGTATAATTTACTGAGGTGTCCCACTCTGTATTTTTACAGCATCTAGCACACTGGGCCCAGATCTTGGTTGGTCCCTACGCACTAACCAAGATTCGTGCTAATAATAACTGGATTCACCCTCCTAGCCAACCTACTCCCTCCAAAGATAACCATTCCTGGCCGGGATCGGCGGAATGGCTTTATCTGGACAAGTGAGAAGACAAGCTGTCCCTGGGGAGAAAGGAGAAGTCTCAGAAGAGCTAGGTAGGCTTGGCCTCCTGTTTCTATCTGGTTGAGTCTCCCAACTACAAAGCTCAGAGAAGGGTGGGTAGGTGCACCCTTCTCCCCTCAACTCCTGTGCCTCCAGTGCTACCAGATGGGGGTGGAAGACCAGGAAGCGGGTCCAGGAGAGTTTCATCCTCTTACCAGAGGGGTGGACTCACGCCATGGTGCAGAGCAGCCCTGAGTCCCCATGAGCCTGCCTGAGTCCCAGTGAGAGCAGAGAGTGGGGGAAAGGCAAGCCTGGCTGTCACTCATTTCACTGCAAAGCATGCTGGGAAGTGGGAGGAGTCTGTGGCCTTTATAACACAGGCTCTGCTTCTGAGGGACTTGCAGGGAGGCTTGCACTGAGGAAGTGGTTGTGGGTGACCCCTGGGAAGCAGAGATCAGGAGGGCCCAGGAGAGACTCATCTACACGAGTAGTGTTTGTACCTTGACTCCTGCTGGAGTGTCAGAGTTCTTGGGATTTCTATTACAACTAGAAGCTGGTTGTTCCATTAGCATCGTCTCAGAGTGTCACACACACCTTGGCTTTAAGAACAACCTCTCCCTCTACATCCTTCTCTTATCGCCCCCATTCTGAGGTGGGCAGGGACATCCAGATGGGGATGTAGCTACAATCCCTGCACATGCTCAGCTCACGCCTGGGGGGATTTCAACAGCCCTGCCACCAAAGCAGAGATCTAAGGGAACTTCAGGACGTGCACCAGCCTTCTACGGATTTAATAAAGAAACTGCCCTAAAACGGTGCAATGGAAGAGCAGAAAGAGCCTGGCTGTCCAAGCTTTCTTAGGCAAAACAATGATGGGAGAAGGGGAAGGACAGGATAGCAAGGGGAGAACATCAATGACATATGTGGGAGCCGGAGAAGTCTCTACTTCAGTCTACAGAAGCTTGAGGGGCGATTCCAAGCAGGGGAGGGATTATCTAGGGGGACACAGGGGGATTACTAGGAGTAACGGGATGACATTGGATGTCGGTAGAGTTCTGGAGAAAAGAATAACGTCTCAGGCTGTGGCATCGTCTTCCCAGGGAAGTGGTGGAGTCCCCGTTGCTAAGCTGGACAAAGCCTCACTCCTGCCCTGACCGTTTGAGAGCAGCTGGAGGATCTAACGGGGCTTTCCTAGGATTCCATGACCTCCCCCCTCCCCCAGTACTGTGCAGGGGAATTGGCTCAGGGCGTCGTGCCCAGGCGGAAGGCAAAGAGACCTTTGAAGAGCGTGGAGCCCCCGGACAGCACAATGTTGGAGAAGAGCGTTCGCCTCAGGTCCATGTCCGATTTCTGAACCGCGAACACCAACACCTCGTGCAGCCCCTCGCACTCTTCTCCAATCAGGTCAGGCCGGAACAGTAACTCGGGGGCTCGGAAACGGGCAGGGCCGATCTGCGAACAACACGAGGGAACAGATTAGCTTCCAGTGCGGCACAAGCAGCAGCGTGGCCTATGCCTGTATAGCAGACGCTTAACCCTTCAATGACCGAAACATCACTGAGTTATAAAGAGTCTCTCTGGCCTACCAGAGACTTGTATGACATCTTTAACATCCTGATGAGGAACACAAGGCTGATGGGCTGCTCCCTTTAACACACAATAACCCATGTAGCTTCATAGAGCCGAAGATTTCAAAGACCTCATGAACATGAAGCAAGCCTCAACATGCCACTAAAGTACTAAGTCAATTATTACCCCCCCCTTTATGGATGGGGGAAGAGGGGGAACTGAGGAAGCAACTTGCTCCTAGCCCCACAGCAAATGAGCAACAGAGCTTGGAGCAGAACCCAGACCTCCTAATTCCAAGTCTGGTGCGCTAGGGCAAAACAACCCCCATACTCTCTCCCCTTCAGCCCTCAACTGGAAGGTTTCACCTTTAGGTTTCTTTCTAAGTCATTCTTCAAAGGGATTGTTTCTGTGCTGCTAGAGAAGATAAACCCCATCTACAGGTTGCTGCTGGATTTGCAGTAAGCTGAGACCCATTCATCCTGTCCCTGATCCTGCAAGTGCAGACCCCTGGACTTGAGGTCTCCGTGTCACAGGAACAGCACGTGTTTCTGGATCACTGGGATTTCAATGAGTTACGGGTCGGGTACGCAGGGATCCTCAGAGGGAAGCTATATTTATCAGAAACCGTTTATCAATTGGTTCAATCACTGTAGGTCTTTAGAAAGAAATAGATAAGGAACTATTCTAACCTTTTACAAGAGAAATCCTGTCCCCACTGCAGCTACATTTTAGCAAGAGATTCTACCAAAACGTCCCAGCCCCCAGCAGTGAGAGGGCCAGGACATTCTACTAACACTGAGCTTCTTATGAAGAATAACGTAATATTTGTCCTTACGCACCTCAATAGTGCTTCCATCTGGCAGGTAGTACTGGGCTTTCTCGGTCTCTAACGTCTCGTCCTTCTGGGGGTTTATTGACAGGTAACAGGCACGCTGCAAAGGGAACGCAGGCAGATGAGCAGGGCTCTGAACAAAACATTTTTCTTTGGGAAGAGAGCAATTTTCAGCAGAACCTTCTATCGGGACAAACAAATCTTTCAGATCAATCTGAACTGAAACATTTGTTAGTCTACTCTGAGCCACTGAGGTGTCTCATTCTGGTCCCCACTCGCTAGCTGGACTACATCTCCCATGATGCACCTAAGTCTCCTGGCAGCTTAGCCACTATAGGGCTTCATGGGGAAACAAAAACATTCGGACTTTTTCAAATAGAAATTTTGTGAACTTTTTGTTCTGCAAGAAGCTTTGCTATTTTGACTGGGTCCCTGTTTGGGACACATGTATCAGAGATGGAAATGCACAAGCTACTTAAGAAAGAAACAGTGTGAAAGTCACAATGCAAAGAATAAAATATGAAAGGGTTAAGCCCAGAAATCCATTGCTACTGTCCCTTGCTGACCTGGCTGAAGCAAGTTAAAAATCTTTTTTAAAATGATTCCCTCTGAAATCCTCAGTACCGCCAAGCCCGGTCCTTCAAAAATCATGTCAGGCACCGAAAAACTCATTATTGGTTTAAATATCACGTGACAAATAATAAATGACTGTTTCTTTTTTATTTTTCTTCCTGGTTTTAAGCCTTTAGGTCACACTCCGGGTGCATTTTCAAGCTTTTCTCCACAACCAGGAGGGGAGCAAACGTTCATTAAAAAAAAAAAAAAAAAAGTAAGCAGAGATTCTCATATTTATCCCTTGTCTCCACAACCTGGGTCTTTAAGGAACTCAAACAGTAATGCTCGTGAGCTGGCAGCACTGCCTGCTGCCTTGGTGAAAACCAATAGCAGAAATCTCCCTGCAACCCCTGGTATTTGTCGGAGAATGATGAATTCTAGCATCTCTTCAGTGAACCAGGAAATACCGGGGGGGGGGGGGGGGGGAGTGGGGGGAGGGAAAACTCTCGTATGTGCTAACTCTGCACCCCCCCAGCCCCACTAGTGAGGGGGTTCAGCATGCAAGTCTGGGCTCGTCTCCATTTTTGTTCTGAAGCTCAGCTTTTGTAAGGGTACGGTTCAGAAAGTCACCACTTTCCTGGGAGATGGTGAGCCTGACCGCTAGAGCAGAGATTCCAATACAGGCGGTTTCGCGGTTTCATTTTCTAAGCGCACCAAGGACTCTGGCCATTTGTACGAGAGTTTCCAAGGTGCAATATACCACCGATTTGGACGCATGCATGTTTCTTGCTTTTCCCCATCCTATCAAGCCCGGCATCTTGCAAGGCACGGAAGCTACAGGATGTTTTCTATCCGCTTTTGAAGAGCTGAAGAGAATCTTCGCTATTTCTCTCTAGCACTGAAATGCCAACCCTTCCTCCCTTGTAATCAGCACTTACAAACCACCCACACCTCCAGAGCTTTGTGCATTCTGCTGAAGCCACTCAGCTGCTGCAGTGACCGAGTGCGGGTGCCTCTCGCTTAGCATGCTAAGCAGCTGCACTTGAATTTGACTCCCAAGCCACTAGCACCTTTTCTATCTCCTCACACTCTCTCTTGCTGGCAGGAGATCACAGACGGTGAAAAAACTCACTGAGACCAGGCACATGCATCTGTCTTAAACCAACTGTGCAGGCAGCAATTATCTGAAGGGATTATGCAGTATGGGAGTTATCCACCAGATGTCACTACACAGCAACCACAGTCAGCAATTCCAGGGCTCTGGGCTCTAATCACTACAGGACTGATCCTGCAGTCTGAATGCCTGTATGTATTGATGAGCATTTCTATGCTACTCACTGCAACAGCTCAGCACCTAGAGAGGCAAAACCTCCATTGAAATCCATCAGTGGGAGTCCTGCGTGTGTAAGAAACTGCTGGGCGAGGTCCAAAGAGATAAGCAAAGCTACTGCTAAGAATCAGTCACTCTTGTAGTTAAAATATGCATCTCCCATCCCCCAGGTTTGTCCTCCTCTTTGGCCGAGATGAGCTGCCTTCCTCCATGTTTCTAACAGAACAGTCGCCAAGATGGCTCTGGTTTGCTTACTGCCCTGAGTGTGCATATTTGTGAGAGACTTTGCCGCTAATGATCACAAAATCCTGGGCTCCTAAGAAGAGGGTCTCTAATCTGGGTGCTGCTTTTTAAATGTTATCATTGTGGATAGTGGAATAATGCCATATGGAATATTTCACACTTCCCATTCTGATCCGGCATGGATGTAACTAGTCTTTTTTCCTCAGCAGATTACTTTAGTGCTAATGGAAGGTGCCACCCTGCCAGCCCTAGGGACTGGAGTTCTGCATCTATCTGCACAACCGGTACAGCACAGGCATTGGCAATGCAAGCGTTCCCCAGGCTGACCGGCCTACGTGCCTCAGCCCTGACATGAAGAGATCCTCTGTGGGAATCAGAGGGGAGTTCTGGCTCAATGGCCTATTCAGTTTTTAGGGGGCCCGCTGCCAAGACTGCCATCAAGGAGCTGGTCACGAAGGCTCTGCACCCCATTTCATAGACTCCTTGGCTCATCACTGCAGAAATCACCCCTACACCAATCACAGACAGCGGGGCACCTCTTTGATGGTTTTGACGATCTCGAACTCTGATGATGTGTGAAAGTCGTAGCCTTCTTTCCGGAGATAGAGGCAAAGGAAGCGGGATACATCGCGGCCAGCGATATCGATCCGCATAATGGAGTGAGGCATAGCAAACCCTTCGTAAATAGGAACCGCATGGGTAACGCCATCCCCGGAGTCCAGCACCACCCCTGTGGTTCTCCCTGTAGCGTAACTGCAACAAAGGAGGGAAAGATCATATCTGAGTGACAGGCAGCGCATTTCACAAGTGTTACCTGGACTTTTACCTGGCCCAACTGATGCCATGTTTACACTCCAGACACATAATAAAGCAATGAGAGAGAAACAAGTAACTGCAGAATAATTCAGCTTACTTCTGAAATGGGCATTTCTACTTTTTTTTTTTTTTTTTTAAAGTAAAGTTTTTTCAGTTCTGAGGAACTCTGTTTAATTTTGGCCTTGATGCAGGATTTGGGGTGGTTGTTTTGAAATAAGAGTTTACAAAATGCAATATGGATCGAAATAAGTAGTTATAATTAATATATGTCAACGTTGGTAAAAGTAAATGACCGGAATGAAGAATACGACGTTAAAGTTAAAAAATGCATTTAACAATCTAGTGAGTTACTAATAAAACAGGGAAGGATTTGAAAAGAAATAGGATTAATCCCAGTGTCACTAGCTGATCCATTTGAAACTGAACCGCGCACAAAATACAACCATTTTATAAAGCCTCCGTTGGTTTAATATGGCTTGGTAAAGACCAGGATGGAAATCCTTGCAGATGAACTCTGCAAATCTTTTTTTAAGCCAGCCAGTCACACACAGTTCCCTGCTCACCCCTTCTCCCAAGATGCCACACTCTAAGGCAGCTGGAGAGGCAGGAATCGTTACGTCGGCCAGCTCTGGTGCCTCCCATTGCCTAGAGAGAACTTCTGGTAGGAAGCATGAGCCTGGAGCTTTCCACAGCGGGCACAAGATGGCTGCAATGCCAGGCCGTGGGGCGAGAGGTACTGCTTTGGATACACTAGCCTTTGCCCCAACCATTGCCAACAACAACCGTGGGGCCCTAGTTCAGTCAAGGCACCAGCAGCCACCAGCATTTTAACCACCGCGGCCCCCTCCTGCAGGCAGACCTAGAGGACATGGTGGTAAAATTACAAATGTCGGCGAGATCCTTGCCCTTGTTTACACCAGCACGCCCACAAGTGGAGCTGAACTGACACCTACTCAGTGTGGCGCTCTGCCCCCTCTAGCCATGGCTGGACCAAACAGAGGTTGAGCCTGCTGCAGCCTTGGTTAACAGAGCTGGGGCTTCTAGCTCAGGCAGTAGAGGCTCCCGCTTTAAGATTCCCAGGTTCAAGCCCCGCTGCTGATCGAGGGTGCAAAGTTGCAGACTGCGGCCTGTACAGGGATTTGAGCGTGGGGGACCTTGTTAGGCCTGGTCTACACTACGACTAATTCGGATTTAGCAATGACTGGAGATTTTTCAAAAAAAGCCTAATAGCCTGTATATTTCTACTTCCTTCCAGGCGGTTAAGGTCAGAATTAGACATGGGACAAAGCTGCAAACATCAGAGCAGGAACCAAACGCCCCCGTGGTTTGGGGATGGGCAGATCCGTCTCCATTTAAATAGTCAATCTCCAAAGGAATGGCTGGTTTTCAGGACAACCTCACTTGAGTTTTATTTCTGCCCTTCTGCTCAGGCTGTGCAGAGAAAGGGGAAGATACTTACAGGCTGAGCACCGCTTGCATGGAGATAAAAAGTGCTGGCACGTTGAAGGTCTCAAAGAAAACCTCAGCAGCTCGCTCTCGGTTCTTCCGTGGGTTCAGGGGAGCCTCCGTCAGGAGCACAGGATGCTGGTTTAATCGAGACAAAACAGAACTCAGCAGAGGGGTTCGTTCTGCGGCTCTGACCCGCTGCAGCTGGGAATGCTCGATCACGGCTAGACGTAGGAGTGGGGCTCTGTCCCCACCACAGGCTGCGAGTATCCATACGGACTGGGGGTGGGGGGTGTGATTGGGAACGTGTTCCAGAATAACTCTGTTTACTCGTACACTTTAGGAACTGCGGGGATATAAATAGCAACGTGGGATGAAGTTAAGGAATGAGGGAACACTGCCAACCAGAGAGATCTCAGAGGCTGGGGAATAATCTCCCACTGGAAGGGCTCGAGAATCCTCAGGACTTGGGCCATTTCAAGCTAAATTCGACAGAGCGCTGGGGGACAGACTGTAGGGGACTATCCTGCTGTGACCGAATGGATCTTTTTCCATCTGTCCACTCAGAAGTCACATCATTAAGTTTGCAGCAGGGCTGCCTTTAAAACACAGGCCCTGACTAGGGGCTGCAGGCTTCAGTTCATCACCATGGTGCAGAAACGCTGCTAAGCCACTTCCAGAGCCATTTCACAGAACATCTCGCAGACGTTGCCCTATTTTATTTCTCTCTCTCTCCAGGTTGAGTGCACAGGGTTTACGCCTCCTTCCTTTCAAACAATCTCATTAGTAAACATTTGGTGAGCGGATAAAGCAGGACAGGAACGATTAGAGGCACCCGGCCCAGCTCAGAAATAAGGGGATGCTGCATTGGGGAGAATGTGGGCACGGGGGCTGAATGCTGGATCAGCAGTAAAGCTGCAGTATCAGATTAGCACCGGGTCATTCCGCTTGCGTACTTCTTGGCGGAGGGCTAAAGCGAAGCAATAATTTTTGATTAATGAACAGGTACATTTAGAGCTTCTGCAGGGAAAAGCAAAGGAAAGGTACCAGATCTACCCCAGAGCTTACACACGGGGCCTGCGTGGAATCTCACCTCTTCTGAGAAAGTCTGAAGCTGGTCTTTCGAATACACATAGTGCCAGATGCGCTCCATGTCATTCCAGTCCTTCACTATGCCATGTTCCATGGGGTACCTGATCGAGAGCAGACCTCGGTGCTCCTAGCCACACAGAAAAGACAACGCAGCATGCCTTTCAGCGAGATTTCCAAACATACTCCTCACTGCCTATTACTAGTGACACTGCTCCTCTTACAGAGGCATCTGCTTGCTGTAAAATCCAAGGAATAACACTGACTGTCTGTATTTCATTATAAAGGATAGGATATCATAAACTGATATACAAATACCCATAAACGGGTATGTTTGTTTCTCTAGTTTATGCGCGATGGGACGCTCTAATGGGGTGTGCACTGACCTTTTAGGAGAGTCTAATGGCCAAGTTCAGCCCCAGACAAGGTCGTTAAGGGGGCTGTAGTCTGGAGCGATTCATGGGACCATGTGCTGTGCAAGACAGGACTACATATGGCAATCTTCTTGCTCAGGCTATGGAAACCCGAAGTGAAGGAAGATCTGGTATTTAAGGTTCTCGACCAGGAGAGATGGGGATGCAGCATGAGAAGGAACTGTGAGTTGGTTAGAGAAAAGCCAAAAATAGGAGGACCCAGGGAGGAGTGAAGTGAGTGATGGAGGAGGCTATGGGCTAGCTTCCTGTTTCTGGGCCTGCAACAGGGGTGTCCAGGTAGGGTAGAAAGAAATCCACCTCCACCCTGTGCATAAACAGGGGCAGATGCTGGAGGAAAGGACTACTATTGGTACTGATCAGCCCTGCATCAATAGGGGGTGAAGTTGGATGTGTGAAGGATGGAAGCGTTTAGCCCAAGGAAGACTCTCTTGTTTTGGCCAGAGGGTCAAAAAAAAAAAAAAAAAAAAAAAAAAAAAAAAAACAACTGGCCTACGACAAGAGATCAGCACGGGAGGCTGAAACACAGAGCTGGAGTGGAAACTGAGGCACAACTATACCCAGTGACAGAGAGCTAGGAACCTGCTACCGAATCCCATCACTCCCCACTGAAATGCAGCCACCTCTGGGGAGGAGAACAGCAGATGTTTAACACCCCACACACCACCACACAGCAGTCAATGAATGTTGTATCCAAATCAAAACGGCAGGGGAGATTAGGGAGGAGGTAATTGTCCAATCAAGCCAGGACACTGGAGGGTGGAAATCCCACTCTAGGAAAGGGCTATGGACTCCAGATATGATTGTTATTAGAATCATAGAATACCAGGGTTGGAAGGGACCTCAAGAGGTCATCTAGTCCAACCCCCTGCTCAAAGCAGGACCAATCCCCAGACAGATTTTTGCCGCAGATCCCTAAATGGCCCCCTCAAGGATTGAACTCACAACCCTGGGTTTAGCAGGCCAATGCTCAAACCACTGAGCTATCCCTCCCCCCAGGGCATTAGTTTTATGTCCCCTTTGACAGGGATATAATCTAAAAGAAACACTATCCTTCTACGGGCACAGAGACCAGGGAGAGCAGAGAAAGGCTCTGTAGTTTCTGAGCGAATATAAAACGTGTTTAGCTGAAACAACTAACGCTACCACCCAGGGGCAGGGCACAAACCTCAGCTTGCTGCAGGCAGCACCCTGGACTGGAAGGTCTAGACTACTCCCCTTTGCAGCTCTTCCACTTCCAGTGGTAACATTGCCCTCCACTACTGCTGCAACTCTTCTCAGCTGGGAACCATGACACCCCCGTGGAGCCTACACCCAGACACATGGGGATCCATGATAAAGAGGCGCTCTTACCTCTGCTTTTGGCCCAATGAAAATGTCCCCTTCTAAAGCACCAGCCATGACACGAACGTGCTTTGGTCTGCCCACACTACAATGGAGGTTACAAGTATTAGAGAGTCTCATGCAAGACAGGATACGTACCTGAGCATTAACTAGTCAGTGCTTCTCTATTCCCTGAGAAGCTATTGCTAGCAATGGTGGGAGGGACTACTTCACCTGGGTGAGCACACATACACCCCTGGGAAAGAGCGAGTCTGGTGAGCTAACAGCTGTCAGTGGTGCCCAGGCATCCGGATCCTGGAGTCCTTTCTCAGCTAGAGCTCCCATTGACTTCTACAGCCATTTTACATGAGTAAAGATGGTAGAACTGGGCTCAGAATAAATATATAAAGGTATTTTTTACCCATCCTGTTTTTGTTTTCTCAGTTTTCCAGAGGACCTCAGTTGTCTAACAGCAGGATGACCAATGTTTGTACTGGGGTTAAATTAATTCCACCTTTGGTCTCTCTATAGTTCTACAACTACAACCAGCTACTGGGAGCCCACAGGACTTGACTCAAAGCCATACATAATTATCCTTTGCACGTTTTTTAGCAACTTCAGGCAATCTCAAAGCATTTAACATCACTGAACTCAGATCCAGGACCCCTCTGGAAGGAGAGTATTATCTCAGCGGCAGAGCCAGAGATAAAACCTACTTCTTCAGATTCCCAACACCTGCTTAAACCACAAGACCGTTCCTCCCTCTATGTAGACTGAACATGGTCTGGGATACTCAGAGCAACTAAAACCCCCCACCAGAGTTACTAGGGTACTTACTAGTTTGGAAAACAGTACTTCGGTATCTGGTCACCTGCAAAACCTGCCTTGATTACACCCGAGCCCTGTGGGAGGAACAGAGAAGTGTGTGACAAATATTGAATATTTCTGCATGTCAGTCACGTGGCACTTGTGCTCACAACAATTTAAAAAACAAGCAGCATGTTAAATGAAGCACAAACAGCCCTCCCCTGTATCACTTCGACCCAGCATAAAAAAAGCCCCCCGCCCGGACGATCCAAATCCAGACACGTTCTTCCTCCAGAAGATGTGCTTTGCAGTGTGCTAAGGTGATCCTCAGAGGGAGTAATTTCCACCCTCCACTGACAACACCTTGCTGGGCAAGCCTGGAGCGTTAAAGCTGAGGAACCTCGGCAAAAAGTATCCGCTCCTCTCGGCCATCACACTGGTGCACAACACAGAGTCTGCTTCATACAGCAGATTAGTTTAGATCCAAACACTGTCACCTGTTTAGCATCAGAAGTATGCTACGGGCTGAACAGACACCGAAAAAGAGGCCTCAGCCCCAACAGGCGGGCGGTCTAATCTAAACAATAGACAGATGGCAGAGAGGGCAACACAAAGCAAATAATTAAAGGGCAGAGTTTAGCGAAACCCGTGCCAGTTTCATTTCTTAGAAGCAGGGCCGGCTCCAGGGTTTTGGCTGCCCCACGCAGCCAAACAAAAAACAAACAAAAAAAAAGCCGCGATCGCGATCTGCGGCAGCAATTCGGCGGGAGGTCCTTCGCGCTGAGCAGGAGTGAGGGACCGTCCGCCGAATTGCCGCCGAACAGCTGGACGTACCGCCCCTCTCCGAAGTGGCTGTCCCAAGCACCTGCTTGGTAAGCTGGTGCCTGGAGCCGGCCCTGCTTAGACAGGAAGGCAGAGGGTTCACAGGCCTTTCAGAAGAAGCATGCCTTAGGATGGGATTTGGAGGAAAGGATGGAGGCGTGGCTGACTGAGCCAGGGAGGAGTTTTAAGGGGAGAACGACCCCGTGGAAAACAGACTGGAGTTGAGGCTGAGAGAAGAAGCTAAGGGGGTGCGCTCTTTGGGGCAGGGACAGACTTGTAGTTCTGTGTCAATACAGCATTTAGCACGGTGGGATCCTGGGTCATGACTGGGGCTAATAATAAGCGGTGCGCAGCCTCGGCAGAGCTATGGGGACAAGTAGGGAGCAAAAGGAAACAAGAGCAGAGAGGAACGTGGGAGCTAAGTTGCACAGGGCTTTGGATGCAACAAGGAATTTGGATCAGATTCAAGAGGAAGCCAGTGAGAAGAGGCTGGGTCCAGCAAGGACGGTAGATTTTTTTTTTGCAAGGAGGCACTATTCAAAGCAGCAAAACCCCACAGGAGCATGTAGAGTAGTTAAAAATTCAGCACTTTGATTCTTTGGTAACAGTTGTGCCAGGCGGCTGAC